ACAACCTGCCTTCATTGCGTACAAAAGCTGTACACTCCCCCAACACTGTTGCTCATCATTTACAATTTTCCGCCTTTTTATATTGTGTATCCATTAACAAATTGGTGCATAGTTACTCTTAATGCTTTCTAACCTTTATACTGAAATTAAAAGTGATTTTATTCACCACCTTCACAATGTTGCAGTATTGTGTTTTTTCCTCTACATCTACCATTACCAGGCCAGTTCTCCACACCCAGGTACTTTTCTGTTGAAAACTAACTCTCTTAAGCATTTCCCCCCAAGGCACTATGCTAAGTGGGATAAGCCAGTCATGTAGACAGGGCTTCATGATTCTGCTTCAATGAAGTATCTGAAAGTGTCAAACTCACAGCAGAGAATGGAGTGGTGGCTGCTGGGGGCTGGAGGGAGGGGGAATGAGGAGACGTTGTGCAACACGTGTACATCTTCAGTCATGCAAGATGAGTAAGTCCCAGAGATCCGTACAGCACAGTGCCTGGAATTGCCAGTAGTGTCTTGTGCACTTAAACATTTTGTGAAGAGGGTAGAGCTCATGTTGTTTTCTTATAACAAACAAACTGGAGGCACAGGGAAACTTTGAGAGGTGGTTGACTAGGTTTCTTACCTTGGTGGGTCCCACCGGTGTGTACGTATGTTCAAACTCATCAAATGGCATACATTAAATATGTGCCATTTTTCATATATGTCAATTATACTTCGATGAGGCTGTTTTTAAAAAAGAAAAATAAATGAAATCACATCTATGAATACATCATTGCTCATAAAATGAAAAGGGACAGTATTACCGACCCTACTGGTCATCATAAGGCTCAAAGGATCTGTTATAGGTAAAGCATTTAGAAAACGTAGGTAATCGGCACTCAGTACTCACACTAGCATGCTTTACCCAGTTAGCTGGACTATTTGCAGCTAATTTTACACAAGTCTCAGATGATCTTTCCCGATTCCAATTGCTGTTTAGTTTAAGAGGGCCAGAAACGGGAGAATCGTTGCTGCCACCTGGTGGCCACAATCTTATCGGCCTTTGCGGATTCCGCAGGAATTGCAGTCAAGGTCGACCGACAAGCTGAGAGGTTTCCCAGCAAGTTGTTTTGGCTTTGCAGGGGGAGGTTGGATGGGAAGCTGTTAAAAAGTAGCATTCCTGGAAGGGCTGCTGAGAAAGAGGAGGGCTTTTCATGGGTTGCACAGGGAATTCTGTAACAAAAGCTTCCTGCACATTGATACAAACGCATTTCCTGTTTTCATTCCAAATACAAGTTGCTCCTTCAACCACAGAATAGACAGGACCGTGTGATGTCAGGCAGCTCTGGATGCACATGTACAAGCTGCTCAGACAATGAGAAAAGCAAGAGAAAGAGTCACATGTATGACCCTTGACCAGAGGAGGCACTGTTCCAAACAAAAGCTCCCTAAGAAAAAGACAGATGTGGGATGCCAGCCTCCAAGCAGTTTTACACTGTGAAACCAGAGGAGCGTTTGGCACAGCCTTCATTTATTCACTCATGGAAACTTGTACTGAGCCAGCCTCTGTGCCCAGCCCTGCCTTATGTGGTGCTGGAGAAGGGTGGCGACACTGCCAAGGGGGTGGGTGGCTTCTGGTGCTAAGTGCACGTGATAATTAGGAGCATGATTTGTGGCCAGAGAGACCTGCCCTCTGGAGCATCATCCCCTTTCTCTGCTTCTTAGCAGGATCAATATGCCACTGTGATGAGAAACAGTGACTTGCCAATACATGCCCTTAGACTGTGGTGCAGAAATGGGGCGCCAAAAGCCAGGACATGGGCAGGCAGCCAGGATACAAGGGAGCAAGTCTTGCCTTCCCAGGTGTCTTGGGGCATGTTTGCTGCCCTCTGGACCTCACTGTCCGCTCTGAAGAATGAGGAAGTGAGCCCAGTTCCCCACGGCTCCATGGAGATAAGGCCTGGGGTTCCTCTTCCGGGCACACACTGTCCCCCACTCTCCTATTCTGCAGCTGCACCTGTCCTTGTCGCCCGGGGGTGAGCAGGTAGGGTGGGGGGCGCTGCGCCTCCCACACCCAGGGTCCCAAGCTGAGCATCCAGACGCCAAGCTGGAAGTGAACTCAGGTCTGTGATGATGCAGGAGGGACTGTGAACCCCCTCGGCCTGCACCATCTCCTCCCCTCAGGGTGGCTGGAACAAGCCCACGCCTGCCTGCTACATCCTACACCTACTGGTTCCAGAACAGGGACAAGCCCGGTGAGGAGGCCCCCAGTGGCCACGGTCCCGCCTAGGCCAAATACTGCAGGCTGGGGCTCAGGGACAATTCCATCTCCCAGGGACCCTGGGAAATACCACCATGCTTCGAGCATCTCGGACACCAGGGTGACGGGGAATGGGACACGTTTCTTTCGAGTGGACAGAAGAAATGCAGAATATGATTATGTGTGCAGCTTGCTTTCTTTGAATCTGGCAGGTATGGACCTGTCTAGAGAGGCGAGGATGGAATGTGGGGACCCCACGGAACCTCAGTGATGTGGCCTGAGTTGGTTCCCACCCCCAGCTCATCTGTTGAAGCTGTAACCCCCCAACATGATTGTATTTTCAGAGATAATTGAGACTAAATGGGGTCGTAAGGGTGGAGTCCTAAGACTGGTGGCCTTAGAAGAGAAAGAGAGAGTGGCCTCCCTCCTGCACTCTCTCCCCAGATGCAGAGGAGACACCCTCTGAGGACGCAGTGAGAACGCAGGAAGTGGGCTCCCCTCTTGACTTTGGACTTCCAGCCTCCAGAAGTGTGAGAAATAAATGTCTTTTGTTTAAGCCCCTGGTCTATGGTATTCCGTTAGGGCAGCCAGGGCTAAGACAAGTTCCCTGTCTGCCCATGGAATAATTCAAACAAGCCCCTCTTGTTACTGCAGAGCAGCTTCCCACAAAGCCTGGTTTTCGGCTCTGGGCCTAAGCGCAGCCCTCAGGGTCTCCTCCCCAGGGCAGGGCGTCTATGCAGCTAATAAACTGCTGTTGATCTCATTGGTTCAGTGTTGGGTGGCCCCTGTTCAGCCGCCCCCATAACTCTTGGGTAGGAATCCCTCACTAATGGGGTGCCTAGGAAGCAATCGGAACATCCTGGAGGGCCATGCCCTGTGCAGCTCCCAGCCCCCGATGGCCAGGGTTCTGGGGCTCTCCAGCTAAGGGGCTGGGGACAGAGGGGAATTCACCTGTGGGCGTGGCTCCGGCCAGGCCCCCAGGTGGCCCTGCCTCTCTGTGCAGGGTGAGTTTCAGAAAGCTGGTCTCTAGGGGGCTCCTCTCCGCAGACATGGGAGAGGCTGATGGAAGGGATGGAGCAACTCCAAGCCAGCAGTGACCTCCTGCTCAGCTGGGCCGAGACCCACCATGTCCTTTACTCTCAGGTTCGGCTGTCAGGAATGCCCAGGGGTGCAGAGCAGCTCAGCTGCGCTGTGGCCAGGACAGGCGTGCGTGTGTTGCTCGTCTGGGAATCCTGCGTCCCAGACATGATGGAAATGACACAGGAAATGGGCAGGGCCAGGGTGACCGCAGCTAAGGGTCCCCTCCTCCATGCGGCTGCTGCTGACTCCCGCCAGAGGTAGTGTCCCCATGGTAGCCCAGTCAGGCGGGACTGGGGGCCGCCTGAGGTCAGGGTCTGTTCCTCCCAGTCCCAGCCCTGGGCCTGGGCCTGGGCCGGGCTCACACGCAGTGTCCAGCGCATGTCCTGCCGGTGGAGCGGCCCAGCGGGTCTCCCCACGTGGGGGTCAGAGAGCCCATGGTGAGGAGGGAGGGGCCATCACCTGGAAGACGTTAGGTGTCCGCGCGGCCTGAAGTCAGCACCATCAGAGGGTGCAGGGCTGGCAGATGACTGGCAGGGCAGAGAAGGGGAGGGAAATGAGAAAGACAGGGAGGCCAGCTGAGGGCATCGTGTGGTGCCAAATACCCTTGAGCAGGTAGAGGGCGGGGTGGGGAAGGGCGGGGAGGTGAGAAGAGCCACCTCCCCTGCTCCCCACCAACGGGATCTGCCTCCTCATTGGCCCGGACCCACAGCAGCGCCCTACAGCTGGGAGCTCTGCTTGCTGTCCCTGGAGTCCAGTCATGTCCACCACTCACTCCTGTCCCAGAGCACCCGGCCGGCAGAGCCTCCAGCCCCCTGGCCGCAGCCTGCCCCCACCCTCACGGCCTCTGCCGGGCAGGTGCCTGTAGATTTTCTGTCTCCCCCACAATGGGGAGCATCTCAGGAGCATGAGGGGGGCTGCTGTGTCCTCTTTGCCTCCCGCCCTCACACAGAGCAGATGCTCACTCAGTGTTTGTTGAATGAGTAAATGAACGGCTGCCTCCTACACTTCCCCGAAGACCTTTACTCGTCTTTTATGCCCCAGACACCCATGCAGAACCTTGAAGATCCCGCGCCTGGGGGAGCTGACCGCCTCTCGAGTCCACACCAGGGTTTCTCAGCCTTGCTGCTGCTGACCCTAGGGGCCCATGAGTCTCTGTGGTCAGAGGACCGTCCTGTACATTACAGGATGTTTGGAAGCATCCCTGGCTTCTACCCACCACATGCCAGTCACACCCTTATCCCTGCCATGACAATCAGATGTGTCCAGATGTTGCCAAATATCCGCTGGTAGCCAGGAGGCAAACCCCTGGGTAAGAATGTCAGCCCTCAACAGCAGTGACTCCCCGGGGCCGGGCCAGGAGGAGAACACGACCCCAGAGCGAATTCAGGGGCCGCTAGAGCACCACAGCTTGGGCAGCAGGATGCAAGACCCCCGCCCCTCTGTCTCCTGAGGCCTGGGACCTCCCAGCAGTGCTGCACCCCTGCTGCAGGGCAGGCGCCCACCCAGGTCCGGAGGCCTGGCTGGCAGGACCCAGTCCCTGGTCCAGTTCCGGTGCCGGAGGGAAGGGCCGAGCTGGGGGCGGGGCGCGTCTGTGCCGTCGGCTCTCCGGGCAGCTCCTGGGTCTGGGCGTGGGTGTCCCGCTCCCTGCAGAGGCTGGACAGGCCTCGCCCCACACTTCCTCTTCTGTGCAGGGCTGGCCCAGGCCTCGGGCTCCTCCCCAGCTCCCCGTGGGTGACCCGCACCGCACTCACCGCCTTCCCCTTCTCTCTCCCCCACAGGAAGCCCAGAGCCTCATCTCAGAGATGCTCCTGCTGCTGTCGCTGCTGTGCGCAGGTGAGTGGCCCTGGGGGAGGGAGGAAGGGAGGGGGGCGCAGCTGACCCCTGTCTCCCCGCAGGGTCCCTGGCTCAGGACCGGAGATTCTGGCTGCGAGTGCAGAGGTCCGTGACGGTGCAGGAGGGCCTGTGCGTGCACGTGCCCTGCGATTTCTCCTACCCCCGGGATGGCTGGATTGACTCTACCCCGATTTATGGCTACTGGTTCCGGGAAGCGGCTGATACATTCCATGATGCTCCCGTGGCCACAAACAACCCAGGCCGTAAAGTGCAGGAGGAGACCCAGGGCCGATTCCACCTCCTCGGGAACCCCGGTTTCCACAACTGCTCCCTGGACATCAGAGATGTCAGGAAGACAGACGAAGGAAAGTACCGGTTTTGGGTAGAGAGGCCGTATCATGTGGAATATACTTACCTCTCTCCCCTGCTCTCCGTGCATGTGATGGGTAAGGAGCCTCCGGGGGGGCCCCAGGGAGCTGACAGGGGGTCCCGGGGCAGGCGGGGGTGGGGCACGCCCTCCTGGGTGGGGTTGGGGTAACATGTTGGGGCTCAGAGGGAGGAGCTGGGCCAACGCCTGAGTTCCTCTCAGGGCCACAGGCACCCAGGCCCCTCCTTCTGACCCACGGGGATCCCTCTCCTCACCAGCCCTGACCCACACGCCCCAGCTCCTCATCCCGGAGACCCTGCAGGGTGGCCACCCCCAGAACCTGACCTGCTCTGTGCCTTGGGCCTGCGAGTGGGGCACGCCCCCCACCTTCTCCTGGACGTCAGCCGCCCTCACCTCCCTGGGCCCCAGGACCCTCCTGTCCTCGGTGCTCACTCTCACCCCACGGCCCCAGGACCACGGCACCCGCCTCACCTGTCAGGTGAAGTTCCCCACAAGCGGTGTGACGGTGGAAAGGACCCTCCAGCTCAACGTCACCTGTGAGAGCAGGGCCAGGACACCGGGCCCTTGAGGGGGAGGTGGGGCAGAAGGGCCAGGCTGGGGACACTCGGTGCCTTTGTCCTGGAGACCTGGCTGAGTAGGGGACCTAGAAGGACACCTAGCTGCCCTACATCCTGTGTCCCTGGGGTGGAGGACGCCTTGCCCCAGCTGCCCTGCCCACGGCAGAAGGAACCCCCCCTCCCCTCCTAGGTGCACCACAGACCCTGACAGCCGGCTCCTGCCCAGAGGACGACACAGGTAGGAAGCAGCCACCTGTCCCTGGGCGCTGAGTGGAGTGGGGCCAGATGGGGTCATAGCTGGACCTTCTGGGCTCATATACTGGGGTACAAGTGGGGGGCTGCAGTTATTAGATGTGAGAAGCCCCGTCAAGCCTCTTCCCCCAAATAACCTCCAACCTGCATTTTGATTGGTGACCCGCGGCTTCCTCCTGCCCAGCCTAGATGATGCGCTTTATACTCCTCCCTCACTTAAGGCCCTGGGGGCATTTTCATAGACTTCATTTTTTAGAACAGTTTAAGGTTCACAGCAAAATTGAATGGAAGTTGGAGCCATTCCCCTACACCCTCTGCTTCTCCCACACACACGGCTTCCCCACATCAACATTCCCACCAGACAGCGCATTAGTCAGTCCGTAAATTGTGCCCACATCGAGATGTCATCAACATGCAAAGTCCATAGCTGACACTAGGTGCATGTAGGGTGCACCAGTGGAACAAAAGTATGATGTCATGTCTCCAGCATATGATGTCATGCAGAGAAGGCTTACTGCCCCCATATATCTTTGGGCCACTTTTTGGCTGTCAGCTCTCCCCATGACCTATCTCTGGAGCCCGTGCACCCCAACCCCCGCCCCTTGCCCAGCTCTGTTCCCATTGCTAGTGGTCTCCGCTCCCCTGCTGGGCAGTGAGCCCCATCAGGGATCTCAGCTGTGCCTCGCACCCTGCTGATAGGCAAAGGTGCCTCGCTGACCTGGGGGCTGGACTCCCAGGAGGCATGGCCGTGGCGGGGTCTGACCTGAAGGTCCCAGAACTCCCCTGCTTCCACCTCTTTCCTGAGGTGCAAAAGACCCCCTTTGGCCCTGAGAGACGGGGCCAGTGGAGGCCAGGGAGGGAGCTTCAGACACTGTCCCTGGAAGAAAGGAGGTACAGGGCCTTGCCACACCCCACAGGGTGCTCGGGGTGCATGTCTCTCCCTCTGGAAAGTCTGAGGGGCCCAGAGCCTCGGGGCCCTCTATGGCCAGATCTGGGGTCTGCTGTAGAGAGACTCCGGAGGGGGAGGAACCTGGGGCCTAGGTTTGTTGGACAGGGGTGTGGGGGCTTGACGAGGTGTCTGTGTGGAGGAGGCTGGGCTCTTACAATGGGCAGCAGAACCTAGGGGCTGCACCTCACTGGGAGGAAAGGGGACTCATGCCTGACCATCGAGATTGGAGTTCACTCCAAGCCTTTTTTTCTGTAGGGGAACCGGGGACCAGAGCAGTGATCATTCAGGCGGCCTTTGTGGGAGCTGGTATCACCGTACTGCTCGCTGTCTGCGTCTGCCTCATCTTCTTTGGGTGAGCCGGTGGCTGTGGGCCCGAGGCGGAGCGGAGGCCCTGCAGGGCTGTAAGGCTCCCCCCCAGGCCCAGACCTCCAGGGGCAAAGGCGCTTGGGGCAAAGCCTTGGCTTGAAGGCTCCTGGGCTCACCCCACCCGTGGCCTGCCTCAGTCTGTCACTCCAACTTCGAAAGAGTGACCCTGTGTCTCCCATCAGAGTGAAGACCTGCAGGAAGGAAGCAGCAGGGACAGCACTGGGCGTGGATGGCAGCCACCCTGCTGCAGGCCCAGCTCCCCAGGTATGTGGCGTGCGCATCCCGCTGTGCCTTCTGCCCCTGACATCTCCCGGGTGGCCCACAATCGTACCCCCTTCAGCATGTCCCTAAATGAGTTCGCCCCCTTCCTGCTTGGTTGAAAATGAGGGTTTGATTATCATTCGGGGATGTGGGACCACCAGATCCGGAGTAGACTGCCGCCGAAAAGGAGGTGGTTCCTCCCAGCTCTCCAAAGGAGGGGGCATGCTGCACCACACAGGGCCATCCAGGGCAGCGCCAGGGCTGGTCAGGGGGCAAAGGGAGAGAGTGACACACAGGGCGGCAGCCTCAACTGCAGCTCCCACAGGAAAGGCAAGGGGAGGCAGGGCAGGCCGATTTGGGGTCTGTGGGGCATAGTGGCTGGGTCAGGTCATGTGGTACAGGCCCTGGGGTGGTAAACACAGGAAGAGGGTGGCCCTGATTCGGGGAGCTGGATAAAGGAACTGGTTGAGGGGTGAGTTTTGGACTGACTGGCTTGCATATGAAAGGCAGGCTTGCAGGCAAGATGTTTACTATCTCTAGAAATTAACTCTGTCCTGCAGGGAGGGTTCCTCTCCGCTTCCCAAAGCCCCCGATGTCAAAACAGGAATATATGGTTAGTACACCCCGGACCATACTTCTGCTCTCCCCCTCACCGGTGGTACCCTTGTCCCTGACGCCCCCCAGAGACCTGGCCCTGTCCTGCCCCCGGTCCTCCCACCCCTCTGGCTGCACCGGTTCCCAGCCAAGCGTGTTTGGGCTGCTTCTGAGTACAGCTCAGTGCAACCGCTCCCTTTGAACTGAGCTCCTTGCCCGGTCCTTACACTGCTGCCCCCCTGCCGACTCTGGTCCCCAGCACGTTCACATCACCCCCACAAAAGATCATTTTCCGCACTGCTTTTCCTCCCTGCCCAAAGACGAGGCTTGAAATGACTTGGTATGACATTTGGGGCAGGAAACCCTGAGTCACCTTCTGCGATTCACTCCCCCAGCCTGGCCTGCAGACTCTCCCCAGGGTATGTGCCTTGCGCATCTCAGAACCACACTCACTGCCCCCTCCTCTCGCTCATCCTCCGAGCTCTGACTTTCATTTCTGTGTTTAACCCTGACCAGTGTAGCGTGGACACCCCTGAGGATTTAGGGCACGTGGTCAGCAGGCACTCACGCATTCATCCAGACCCTCAGCCAGTATGTGCCACCTGTAGTGATCTGGGTGCTTGGGTGAGATCTGTATTTTTACACACACATAGGTTAACAAATATGAAATGTCCTTACTGTTAAGGACCTGCACTGGGGGCAGGGACGGGGGTGAAAACAATGAACAGAGTAGTGAAAATATACAGGAAGCTGGCAGGAAATGAAAGTTATGGAGGGGGCTGGAGTCTTTGAGGAAACGCTTGCTGGAGATAAAGGGGTGCAGAGTGAGCCCTGAGAGAGGATCACAGAGCGTTCTACCAGAGGGCAATCAGCGCCAGGGCTCTGAGATTTGGGGTGTGCTGCCGTGTTGAGAAATAGCACGTAGGACAGCGGACCTAAGGCAGGGTTACACGGAGGTGAGCAGCACATGAAACTGGAGAGACACGGAGGCTGCAAATGTCGCAGGGGTCCCGCATTTCACCATAATCGCTTGTGTAGGTTGAGCACAGGAGTGACAGTGTGAAGTCAAACACACTTCTGTGTCTCTCCATCCTACTCACACAGAGCACTTTGCTTCTGACACTTCCGGCCAGCAAATGCATGTGGGTTTTCACAACACCAAGCAATTCTCTGTGACACTGTGACCGAGTCCACTGAGTCGAGGGACAAGGCTTTGGGGCGAGGGAAGTGGCTTTATTTGGAGAGCCGGCAGACCGAGAAGATGGAGGACTCATATCCTAAAGAACCATCTTAACTCAGGGTTGATTTCAAGCTTCTTTTATGCTAAGGAAAATGGAAGCAGGAGGGGGCTGAGGTTAAGTGGAGACAGATGGCTGCAGACATCCGGGTGCCAGCGTGGGGCTGAGAGGGGCCGAGAGGCAACTTGCCCTTGGTCAGCTGACTCTCATTGACCTAGGTCTGCTCACGATGTTCCTATACATCTTTGACGGGACACTCGTTATTTTTGTGCATATTTCCTTATCTCTTCGGGGGAGGTTAGTTTTGGGTAAGGAGCTATTTGCAGAAATCTCAAGCCATGAGCAAAATTCCTTCTGATGATGAACAAGCCCACGTGCAGGGCTACAGGGCTGAGCAGAAGCTACTGACCCAAAGACTAGGGCAGCAAAGGAGACGGAGGCCAAGTGAAGGCAGAGATGCCGTGCTTTCTTTCACTCTGTTACAAACAAGCTGGGCGTCCTGCAATTGAACTCAATTCTGACGCTCTCCAGCTGGAGACAGCGTCAGAGCCCATAGGTTAAGGGCTCATTCCCCCAAGACTGTCCCCGTCCCCCCAACCTCCACTTCAGATGGCAGTCTCAAGTCCGGTTGTCACCTGTGCCTCTCAGGTTCCCGTGACTCCCTTGTCATGTTCAGTTGTTTTGCTAGAGCAGCTCACAGAACTCGGGGAAATCGTTTACTTACTGTTTACCAGCTTAGTATGAAAAGACACGATAAAGGATACGGATGACCATCAGGTGGAATAGATGTGTAAGGCGACGGATGTGAGAAGGGGTGGAGCGTTTGTGCCCTCCCTAGGGGCCGCCCTCCCAGCACCTCCACGTGTGCACCAACCCTGAAGCTCCCTGAACCCCATGCTACTGGAATTTTTATGGAGCCTTCCTCAGGTAGGCGTGATCGAGTATTAACTCTACTTCCAGCCTCTTTCCCCTTGGAGAATGGAGGGTGGGTGGGGCTGGAGACTCCAAGCTTCTCCTCAGGGCTTGGTCTTTTGGTGACTGGCCGCCATCCAGCGGCCCACCCTGAGTCACCTCATTAGAATGAAAGGTGCTGCTTTCACCCAGGAAATGCCAAGGAATTTAAGAGCTCTGTCGCAGGAGCCAGGGTCAAAGATAAAACATTACAAGGCAAGATGCTCCTAGTGCTCTTACCACGTAGGAAATAACAAAGGTTTTTGGAAATCTGTGCAGGAACCAGGGGGAGATATATACATGTAATTTCAGAGACATGAACGGATGCTTATTTTAATGAGATCATTCTGGCTGCTGTGTCGAAAAGCCTGCAGCAGGCTGGGGCAGAAGAGAGGAGACTATACAAGGAAGACACTGAAATAATCCAGGCGAGAAATTTTGCAGACTGTATTAGCCTGCTAGGGCTGCCGTAACAAGTTACCATACACTGGGTGGCTTAAACTACAGAACTTTATTTTCCCACAGTTCTGAAGGATAGAAGTCCAAGATCAAGGTGCCAGCAGAGTTAGTTTCTCCTGAAAACTGGCCCTTGGATTGCCAGTGGCCCCTTCTCTTTACGTCTGCACATGACTTTTCTCTGTGCCATACATTCCAAGTGTGTCTTCTCCTTGGAAGAGCGTAAGTCATTTGGGGCACTACCTTAATGACATCATGTATGCATAATTACACCTTTAAAGGCCGTCTCTTCAAATAAAGTCACATGGTAAGGTTAGACCTTCAACATCTGAATTTGTTGAGGGAAGCACAATTCAGTCCACAAAACAGACTTAGTCTTAGGTAACACGGATGCATTGGGATTTGTTAATTAATGAGGTGACAGTACATGTGGGTGTGAGCAAAGAGCCCACTGCCTCTACCTCATATATGTCATAGATGACTCCATAGATGTCATGCATGTCCACATATGTCCATAAATACCAAAGATGACTCCAGCATGGTTGCCTTGAGCTACATAAAATGCTGAATCAGTTCCTAAATTTGCTCACTCTGCAGGAAGAGCACATTTTCAAGAAGGGATCAGACTTTATTTTGGTTACTAAAAGTTTGAGGTTCTTCTGAGATGGTCCAAGTGAAGATGGTCAGCAGACAGAAGGAGTCTGAAGCTAGGAGAAAGGTGCAGATAGGAGGCCCTGAGGTTTGGGGGACTTTGCATCAAGGTCTGGTAGTGGATGCAGCCACAGAGGAGGGGTCCATGGACAGAGCCCTGGGATCTGCCAGCATTTGGAGATAAGGTGGGAAAAACAGAAGACCGCTGTGGAAGGAGAAAGGACCGGGGGGAGTGTGGGATCGGGCCTTGGTAGCCAAGGCAAGATGGAGTCTCAAGGAGAGAAGGTGCTCCATTGTTTCAAATGCTAGTAAGTCTGGTGACATAGGGCCTGAGTTTAGCTTAGTGGTACCACTGCTGATCTTGATAAAAGTGGATCTGGCTTCTGGGTGGAGGAAGGTATCTTGATTGGAGTGAGCTCAAGAGAGAATGGGCAGAGAGGAAGTGGAAAGATTCTGTTGAGAAGTGTTGCAATAAATCTTTGGCCAAGAAATGAGTCTGCAGCAGAAAACAGTTGTACTTCTAACTCCCTTGGAACTTAATGGGTGGTAGCACTGTCTTTTATTTTGGTGGGGTGACTCTGGGTGGTCACCAGAATGACCAAGCCATGATTACAAGCTTGGGATTTTTTTTAAATTTTGTAATTAAGGTTTCATTGATACACACTCTTACAAAGTGTATATATGAAAAACAATGTGGTTATTACATTCACCCATATTATCAAGTGCCTCCCACACCCCATTGCAGTCACTGTCCATCAGTGTAATAAGATGCCAGAGTCACTGTTTGTCTTCTCTGTGCTACACTGTCTTCCCCTTGACACCCCCACACCATGTGTGCCAATCATAATACCCCTCCATCCCCTTCTCCCTCCCTCCCCACCCACCCTCCCCAATCCCTTCCCTTTGGTAACCACTAATCCCTTCTTGGGGTCTGTGAGTCTGCTGCTGTTTTGTTCCTTCAGTTTTGCTTTCTTCTTATGCTCCACAAACGAGGGAAATCATTTGGTACTTGTCTTTCTCTGCCTGGATTATTTCACTGAGCATAATACCCTCCAGCTCCATCCATGTTGTTGCAAATGGTAGGATTTGTTTTCTTCTTATGGCTGAATAGTATTCCATTGTGTATATGTACCACATCTTTATTCATTCATCCACTGATGGACACTTAGGTTGCTTCAATATCTAGGCTATTGTAAATAGTGCTGCAGTAAACATAGGGGTGCGTATGTCTTTTTGAATCTGAGAACTTGTTTTCTTTGGGTAAATTCCTAGGAGTGTAATTCCCGGGTCAAATGGTATTTCTATTTTTTAGTCTTTTGAGGAACCTCCATTGGCAAGCTTGGGATTTTCATCCTGCCCCCAGACTCCAGAGAGTGAGGAGGGGCTGGAAATGGAGTTAATAACTGATCATGCCTATGTGATGAAGCCTCCATAAAAATCCCAAAGTGTGGGTTTCGGAGAAACCCCAAGTTGGTGAGCACGTGGCGGTGCTGGGAGTAAGCTCCGAGAAGGCATGGGAGCGCCAAGCCCCTTCTCACAAACCTCACCCTATGCATCTCTTCCATCTGCATGTTCATCATATCCTTTACCATACCTTTTTTATAATAAGCCAGTAAACATAAGTAGACTGTGGCCCTGAGTTCTGTGAGGGATCTATCAAATTAATGGTAATTGAGGAGGGCTGATGGGAACATCTGATCCGCTGAGGGTTAGTCAGAAGCACGAGTGACGGCCTGGACTTGGACTGGGTTCTTAATCTGTGAGATCTGATGCTATCTCCAGGGAGGAACTGAATTCAACTGTATCACAGAGAATGGGGGAGATGGGGGAAAGAAACCCACAAATCTGGTGTCGGAAGTGTGGTGCATGAGGTAGTTGTGCAAAGTAGAAGAGAGACACACAGGAGAAGTGAGTTTTCATACACAGCTTTCTATGTGCCCAGTGCCTGGCACATAGGAGATGTCGGAGAGACCAGACTGAGCTCGTGATCGTTAGGCGTGGGACCTGAGGGGGTGCCGAAACTCTCAGAGACTCAGTTCCTTCCTCTGTAAAATAGTATTTTCCACATACGTCTGTGTCTGTTCGGTGGGACTGGAGAGCCACCAGTAACGGCTGTATTTGTGAGACAACCGAATGAATGGGACCTTCAGAAATGTTTGATAAAAGAATGGGAGAATGCACAAATGTCCTGCCAGGTTCAAATTCACTTCCGGGACCCTCTCTGCTTCCCCCAACCCGCACTGCCCGGCTCTGAGCCCCTCGTCTGCTCTCCACACAGGGTCACCAGCAGGAGGCCGAGTCGGGCAGCCCCACCGACCCCACAGGCGCTGGAAAGGCCCTCCCCCTGCAGGGGGTGGGGCAGGAGCTGCACTACGCGTCCCTCAGCTTCCACAGGGCGAATCCTCAGGAGAGCCCCTACGCAGCGACACCTCGGAGGGACTGACGGGATCATCGGTCTCCGCCAGAGCTTCCGTGGGCTCTGTGGGAAGGTGCCCCAAAGGCTGATTCTTGGAGACCTAACCTCCCATGGGCAGCAAGTTTGCAAGCTACAGCGTGCGAGTCTCCCTGTTGTCCTGGGGCTGTTGTTGGCTTTGCAGGCAGAGAGGCCTGGGACCCGACCTACGCTTTCTCCTTTAAGAACGTGACGTCTGACGAGGCACCTTTCCCCTCCAGGTCTCTCTTTCCTGCTTTGTGAAATAGCTGTAAGAAGTCCTACCTCACAGGGTTGAATGAGGGTTAAATAAAAGTGACTATCGAAGACAGCCAGCAAAGGCCTGCTGTACTGTGAGAGTGTGGGGCGCGCTGACTCCTTCCCCCGTGAGCGGAAAGGGTCACCTAGAGGCTGGGTGCGTTCTTCTGTCGGGGACACCACATCAGCGATGTGTCAGTCCCACTCAAGTCAACACCAACCCATTGGGGTAATCATTTTGCAATGTATGCATACATCAAGCCATTCCATTGTACGCCGTAAACTTACACAGTGTTACGTATCAATTACATCTCAATCTGTTGGGAGTCTGCATGGGGTTTAATGATGTTAGTTCGGCGTCAAGGGCTTTAATCTCTTTAATGAGCTGAACATGTTCACGTTTTTGTTGCAAAATGTCTTTAAGTGAAGAAACTTCTTTGGTTAGAGAAATTTTTGCTTGTCGGATGGGGTCAATTGAAAGGGGGAATTTGTGAAATGACTCTAGATCAGGGATTTGAAATATAGGAGCACGTAGAGGGGAAATAGGTTTATATGGAGGGGGTCTGAAGCTTTTATTAGAGGCACTATAAAGGGCTGGCGCCATAAGGCGCCAGGGGTCTTCATTTGCATGATAGTGGACGGCTTGTTCTTCTAAGGACTCTTCATTGTTTAGGCTTAAATGATTCGTTTGGTGTCTTACAGATGTGAGTGAAGGATAGATATTTGGGATTTTAGGAGGATCAGGTTTATCGTGAGTGTCTGGAGATTTTATATTAGGTTGAGGTTTAGGAGATTCTTTAATAGGAGCGGTGGGGTCTTCAGGGATATCTACGGATACTGAAGGACAGGCAGAGGGTGGTCGGGAGTTTTCCTTAAGGGCTATTTCTCCTGTTTTAATTATATCTTTAATGTCAGGATCTTAAGAATGAACCTCAAGTATGTCGTGAATAAGGTTCCAGTAAGAAAATGCTGAAACAGGGACTTTTTCAGGGCCAAAGGTCTGATAAAAGTCTTGGAGGGCATCACCAACTCTTTTCCAACATTTATGATTGATAGTGACTTCGAGGGGAAACTAGGGGCAAGTCTCATGAATAAAGGAAAAAATTGTCTAAGATCTTTTCTTTTAACCCTTACTCCTCGTGTCCTGAGGGACTCCCTGAGTCCGCTAAGAAATACCTCGTGGGAGTTCAGTGAGTTGCCCATTCGGACGGCTGGGATTTCAACTCTATGTAACTTGGAATTATACTAATGCAGCCGCAACCACGCCAATGTTCTGAACTACTGGAGGCACTCTCATCAGCTCAGGCGAGCCCTTGCTTACGTAGGACAGTCGGCAAGTATAATCCGCTTGCTCGGACCCTCTAGGGCAGGGACTCTGTAGTCAGAGTCCCTTGTGCAGGCCCTAGAGGTGAACGACCATTAGCCCAAAGTAAGCACAAGGTTTTCAGAGAGGAACAACCAGAGGACAAAACAAGGAATAAAGCGCGGCAGCAAACTAGAGGGAGGGGATCAGTGAGAACTCACAGGAGGTATTTAAGATGCTTGCTTGGGTGATGGGTCTACTCACCTCTCCGGGATCTGTATTACGGACGGGTGATCCGCAGTGATCCTCAACGCAGAGTCCACATCAGGTCAATACCCGTGTGATGACTCAGAAGAATGCCTGGCCAGGGCTTCCGAGCAGACGTTTCAGCAGGAGTCCCAGGGCCCCACGTTGGGCGCCAGTTGTCCCGGCCCGCGGGACGAACGTGGAGTGTGCCAGAGACGCCTGCAGAAATGAGACAAGCAAGGGACACAAAGAATGACCAGCAAGACAGGATGTCTGATCAAGCTGGCAAAGTTTATTGTTTACAGGCTCAATTTATACAAGTAGCAAGTAAGGGGTGGGTCAGGAGATAATTGGACCTTAGGTGGCGCTGGCGGGGAGGTGTTTTCACACATCCTCAAGGTGTCCCTATTTTCAGAGTGAGGAGTCTTGGCTCATCTTCAAGGACAAGATATGTTTTTGTGAGCAGATAACTTCCAAGGACTGCACCGGTTGCTCTCAAGCTTGTGCTTTTCCCATGCTGCGTTCAGACGTGGGGGAAGGGACATAGCCCCGGCTCCCAACATCAATCAATGGGAAAAAATACATAAACTGGAGATGCAGATGTATTACTTAATGACAAACACTGTTGAATGAAGAAAAACAAAATCTTCCCATGGCTCCCTTCCCTGACTTGGCCGCCAACATCATCTTTCTCCACTCCTGAATCTTCCCTTTCCAGCCTGCTTGCATTCTCCTAGTCCTGCTATAATCAAAATCACATATTAATATGTAGAGGATTTCCTAAAACTCAGAGCTGGCCACAGTCAAAATACCTCTCCATCTCTTCAGCCCAAAAGAATAATTCGCAAGTGCCTAACTTGACCCTCTAGGTCAGAAGTATTAGGAAACTTTTTTTGTAAAGGGCCAGAAAGCAAATATTTTATGCTTTACAATCTGTAAGGTCTCTGTTGCAACTATTCAATTCTGTGTTTATACTGCAAAAGTGGTGTGCAAAAGCCACTGACAATCTGCAAATGAATTAGTGAGGCCGTGTCCCAACCAAAATTTTATCTATGAAAGCAGGCAGCCCGTGGGCTGTAGTTGTCTGACCTATATTCTAGGTTGTTTTTAATCTGCGCAGGCTACTTAGCCATCACCATATCCTAACCCGCCAGGCCCTCCAGCCAGCCTCTAAGAAACCCCAGCCGGATGCATCCCTCCCTCCCTGTCTGCCCATCACCATCCGTCCCCCAGGGAGCTCATCACCAAGTTGGCATCTGGCTAACACCTTCTTACCCTTCAAACCCAGCTTAACGGTGTCTGGCTTGAGATGGTGGAGGGAAGCAGGAACTCATAATCTTCCTCCTTACAAAACCTACTATTTCAATTCAAATAAATCAGTTTAAACAAAAATAGCCCTAAATTCACCAGCAGTGCCAAAACCATGACAGGGATAAACATGATGCCATAAGTTCATAAAGTGGCCCTTAAAAATAAATGGAAGATTCTAGTGTGGTTTACAGAATGCCTGATGACTTTCCCCACCCGCCACCCTACCCCCCCACACCTCCAGAAGAGATAGTTGAGGCAGACTTCTGTTTATGATAACATCAGGCCGGCTGATACAGGTCAACCCATGTGCTGTAAACATTAAAAGCTTCATTGGTGAGACTTCCAATCTAGACAAGATGCTATTGTTCTCTACTCCTCCCCTTTACTCACAGCTATAAATCTGTTAATGATGCAAGAGACCACTGAAGGGGCATTCTGGAATGTGGTAAGAGGACTGAGCTGGTTTTGAACCCCAAGACTGGAGGAACAATATAGAGGCAGGGTATCCCCATCCGCCTAGCCAGCAGAGGAAGGGTGCTCGAACACGGCGGCTCCCAGATCCTGGCTGAGGAGCAGAGGGCAGCCAGGTAGACTGATTCCTCTCCTGGAGGAAGGGGAGCCCTCGGACAGGACCAGGCAAGTCCACCCACGAGCAGGGGCGGCCAGTTGGAGTCAGAAGTAAGTGTCACATACCTTCCCATAAGGTCTGAGACTATCCCCTCTAGCCCAGAGGCACTGGTGTAGGATGGAGAGAATGGGAGAAAGGGATGCAGGCATAGTGTCTAATATTCCCAACCCTGACCCTAAGTTTCTTTCTCTGTCAAATGTGAAGACAAGCCTCCTCATTTTCAGAGTTTTTGTTTTGTTTCATTTTGCTTTTGTTGAGGCTGGCATGAAACAAGCTGTTTAAAGGGACAGCACGGCGGCCAGTACGCAGAGGCCCTTAGTTGCAAGAAGGCTCAGCCGGGTTGGACAGACAGACATCGTCACCAGGAGGGACAGTGCCTGAGAGTGAACAGGAGAGATGTGAGAAGCAGCAGCGACGGCAGCCAGCACCACCCGCTCCTGACTGTCTGCCCCTTCCCTGGGTCCCCCCATCCCCACCCTCTTGCCCCCTGGCCCCACACTGAGACAGAAGCCTCTGGGGTCAGGCCCTGTGGCAGAGCCCTTCTCAGGAGGTACCTGAGCTCAACGCGGGATTTGTTTCAGCACCACAGAGAGCACCAGCCCGGGGCTGCCGCTGGACCAGAGCTCCTGGGGGACCAACCCGTTCAGTAGCTGCCAGTGCAGAGTGGGAGGAGCCTGGGGACCAGCTGAGGCTTCCCAGGTCAGTGACACCGGTCAGGGTGTCCGGGCCTTCCAGGGTGTGCTTGTATCCTCAGACCTGAGCTCTTGGCCCCCTGCAGGTGTTAGCGAGGAGTGGGGTGCTGTCCTGAGGACAGTTTAGCCATGGGTGTCCCCAGAAATTAAATGGAATAAGAAAGGCAGTCTCAGGGCATCATCACTGGTGAGAAAGCGCCGATCACCCCCTTCAGGTGTTTTAAAGCTGCTCTTGGAAGAAAGAAGGCTTCTGTTTAGTGTTGCTCCAGGTGTCCCCCCACCCAGATCCAATAACCTCTGGGATGCATTTTTTCTTTTCCATCTGAGCTGATTTTTTCTCTCGCAGTCTGGGACAGGTTTTCCTCTTTCCCTGTTTTCTCCCATTTCTGTCTGAAGCCTCCTGGACCCTCCACAGTAGTCTCCCACTGCAGCCTCTGCCCAGACACTGCCTGCGGTCGGCAGCCCAGGCAGTCCCGAGCCCCTGGCTGTCCCGAGCTCCCCGGACTGTCCTGAGCCCCTGGCTGTCCTGAGCCCCTGGCTGTCCTGAGTCCCCCGGACTGTCCCGAGCCCCTCACTGTCCCAAGCCCCGGACTGTCCCAAGCCCCAGACTGTTCCAAGCCTGAGTCCCTGGCTGTCCCGAGATCCTGACTGTCCCGAGCCCCTGGACTGTCCCAAGCCCCTGGACTGTCCCGAGCCCCGGGCTGCAGTGGCAGGAAGCCCTGGCTGCGTTGATAGGGCTGGAAACAGGACACCGATCCCCCCCAGCACTCCCACACATGTGCCTGGGTCTGGCCCTCACCCAGAGGTGCCCACATCGGGGCTGGCCTCCTCCACCCCTACGGCATTTCCAGGATCTCCTGCCTCAAGCGAGAGGGGTGGCCCCTGTCTGTGTCCCTCAAACACCAGAACAGGGCCTAGCGCTGGCCACCCCAGAGCCAGCATTCTACAGGCCTCTGACTGCACCCCTGTTTTTCCTGGCAGGGCTGGAGACTTCTAGCAAAGGAGGAGTGACAAAACCTTGAGCTCCTTTGTCTACTGGGACAAGGACAGGCGCTGGACACGGGAACCCAAAGGAGGGGGCTAGACACGGGGGCGCCATGATTACTGTGCCCTGGGCCTCTCTCTCCACCCCTAACTCACCCCTGCAGCATAAGGAAGCTCCCTGCTCACTTGGCTGGGCCCCTGCACGGGAAACACTCTTTCGTCTGCCTCTCACTTCCAGTCTCCCAAACTGTTCCCTGTCTCCTGTTGTAGGTGAGTAGATGCAAAGAGAGGAAAGACCTACTTATCTCAATGATTTTCCTATCGAGATGGAAGCAATACTTTATGCAAGATGCTGCTACTTGTGTGTGTTCCTCTGTGTAGATCTGGGATGTCTGCCGTTCAACACGGATTTATCACCTGCCACGTAATTTATCGTTCCTGGACACAAAGCAAGCCTGCAGTGCTCATGAGAAATGCACACTGTTGTCTCCAAAGACTCACTTTTTACAGTGGGAACTTAAATGCACAGCTAAGGAAACTCTTCTGCTTACCTGCACTTTGCCCACCGCCAAACTGTTTTCCACAGAGAAGCCAGCATGAATTTGAAAAACCTACTTCTCTGCTTCTAGCCCTCTGGGGTCTCCCAGGGACCCACGTGGAAATAGCCAAAATCCTTTAAGATGAACCCAAGGTGTTACACAGTCCATCTTATCTGGGCCACAGGGACGTATTTCTAATGCTTAGAACACAGCACACACCACAGAACAGAGAGCCAGCATGTGCGCGAGGCACACACAGATGAGTCCATTTATTCACTCAAAGGATTTTTTTAAAGGTGAGATCATGCCTCTCGTATAGATATAAAATGAACAAGTGGTTAAGATTTTTTTGATAGCAGTTTAAAGGACGCTCTTAACCATTTTTGTGTGTGGGTGCAGTGTTGTTAACTACAGTCGTTATGACTATAGATCGTAGAGATCTCTAGAACTTTTTCATTTTGTGTAACTGAAAATTTATACCCACTGGACAGCAACTCCCTATTTTATTTAACTCCTTGTGAGTGAGGGCAGCAGGCAGAAATGAAAGAAGCAGAAACTTGTAGGGAGTAAAGGAATGGTGAAGAGACTTGGCGAGTGCACGTGAAACTGGCTTAACGGGGGTGATGCAAGAACATGCCTATCTGCAGACAGGAACTATTTGCATCGCTATTAGTTATCAAATTATGTCATCATAAAATAGTCTGAAGGCAATAAAATGCCAAAATCAGGTAGCCCTGAGGGTATGCTCTAAAGAAAGCAGTTTTCTGCTAGAGACAGCCAGGAATGTTATTTTGCCTGGAATAAATTTCTGTGCAATTCTTAAAACAAATATTTATTGACCATCTAATATATGCTAGGCATTTTCCTAAGCCGGGTGGGTTCAGCAGTAAATGGAAGAGATTTAAGATCCTTCAGGAAGCTTACATGTTAATGGAAGGAGGAACAGGCACAGAATAATTAAGTAGATTATGTGTTACATTGTTTGGAGATGACAAGTTTTGGGGGAAAAATGCAGGAAAGATATGTAGGGAATATGTGATGGGTTATACTCTTCAGTAAATTGTCCATGGATGTAATCACTGAGAAACTGATCATTGAATATGCATATCACTTAGCACTTAGACACACACACCTCGACATGAACACACAGACATACCTCAAAATACACACACACACACATACACAGACCACACACACATATATACACACCTCAGACACACAGAGACCACAAAGACAGACACACATACATATACACACAGACCAGAGACACACACACACAAACACACATGCACACTCACGTCACACACCATGCCAAATGCGGCACGGGCCTTAGAATGGCTCCTCGCCCTGAGAGTCTTGCCCTGGGAAGATTGTAGCCCTGGTCTCAGGCCTGGTAGACCAGGTGTCCCGGCAGGAGAGAAAGGTCAGGGAGGCCCTGGGACTCGGGCCACTTTCTGCTGTTTGGGTGGCCTTTCGTTCTCAGGACCCTGATCCTCTGTCCGCTGACATCACATTTGCTTGTCCCTGCTGCCCACGGTCCCACCGCATCCAGTGCCTGGAGCAGCTGTGTGGTCCCCACTCAGTCCAGCTTCCAGGGAGTGGACAGGGAAGGTGGGAATGTCTTGGCCTTCAGAAAGCCTGAGACTGAAGCCAGGGCAGGTGAGAAGGGAAGTGGGGAGTGGGGAGCAAAGAAGTTGGGGGCAAAGGTCACAGGCCAGTGTGGGAGGCCCAGGAACACCGCTGAGTGCACTGTCCCTGGACGCCCCCCCCCTTTGTCCTGCTCTGAGCGCCCCACGGGGGTATGAGCGGAGGTCATGGGACACACTGGGAGCCCCTCGGGGGTGTCTGGAAAGTTCTCCCCATAGCCCTGGGCATGTCCCAGCCCAGATGGAACCCCCTGGATATTTCAGCTCCTCTGTCCAGAGTCTAGACTAACATGTAAGCTTCCTGAAGGATCTTAAATCTTAAACGGGGTGCGGGACAGTGTGGGGGAGGCCGTGTGCTGGAGGAGCTCAGACCTGGATTTCCTTGGCCCCTGGAACAGAGCAGCTGAAGACCCCACCGAGGCAAAGCGGCTGCCTGGGGCCGGGGCTGCCTGGGGCGGGGCTGCCTGGGGCGGGGCTGCAGGCCACGCCCTGTCCGCTCACACCAGCGCCCTGACTCTGCTCCTGCTCCCTCGGATGGATGAACTTGCCTGGCAGACAGCCCTGCTCACCTTCCTGCTCTGCTGCCCCTTCGCGCGGACACGCCCTCACCCCCTGCTCTGAGCTCCCCCAGCCCCAGCCTGCCTGCAGGCCGGCCTTGACCACGCTGGGCTGTGGACGTGCCTGTGCCTCTGCCGCTGCTCCCGCCCTGCTGCAGCCCCTCCGGGAGGGGCCCCACCTCGGCCCCACGCCCCAGGACACTGCTCCTCAGGTGGGAGCCCGGCGGCCCGGGCGCATGCGGGAGCGTCGACGGGCTCAGCCCCAGAGGGACCGGCGGGGGCTCAGGCCCGGGTGCGCCGGGTGGCGCTGGGCGCAGCTCAGAGCTGGTGCACGAGGACTGGAGCAGGCTTCTTCCGGTTGCCAAACCTTTCCCTTCCCTCTTCTCCTCCCACCCTCAGAGTGGCACCATCCTACAGACTGGCCCCTGGTCACTGTGTGGACCGTGTCCACGGAGGGCCTGGCCAGGCAGCTTAGAGCACTTGTGCAAATACATTGATCTTCTTGGCGACCCCACGGACTAATTTGTTCAGGTGACCATGCCAAAGCACCACAGGTCGGGGGCTTGAACAACAGAAATTCATTTTCTCCCCGCTCTGGAGGCTAGAAGTCCAAGGTCAAGGTGTCAACAGGCTTGGTTCCTTCTGAGACCTCTCTCCTTGGCCTCTGGATGGCCATCCTCTGCCTGGGTCTTTACATGACCTCCCCTCTGTGCATGTCTGTGTCCTGACCTCTTCTTCCTGTAAGGACACCCTTCCTATTGGGTTCAAGCCCACCACAAAGACCTCTGTTACCTTAACCACCTTGTGAAGACCTACCACCAAAGACAGACACAGAGGCGCTGAGGATCAAGACACGAACACAGGGATTTTGCGGGGGACACAACTCAGCCTGTAACACCCCATGAACACAGGCGCCCAACTGCACACAGAGTGGGCAAGCCTACTTCCTAAAGTGGCACAGCGAGCCTGGGGCCGCCTAGCCACAGAGCCTGTGCACCTGACCCCCTCGAGGGACGCCTCAGGTGAGGAAGCCCTGGGGCCAAGCTGATCACCAGAAGCTTCTCGCTAGGACAGGACTTAGGAGGACCACCGAGGAGCAGGCAGGCTCAGACACTCGACCAGCAAGACAGCCGCACCTGAGCGCAGAAAATGCCCACATCCGTCCCCCAGCTGGAGTCCCCCACGGATGAGAACTGAGTATTACCATCCCTCCAGTGATGGGGGAGGATACGGAGGCTTGGAAGGGGCGAGGGGCCAGCCACACCTGACCACAAAGGCAGGGTATCCCTGCCAACGTCAGGCTGCGCCGTCCTCTCACTCCGAACACCAGGTTCTCGGGCACGGCCTGTGCAGCCGACATCAGGGGGGCCTGGAGCAGGGGACTGTGAACAGGTCAGGAAGCCCCAGGAGCCCCCTGGGGGTCGCATCCTTGTGAGCCCCTCGGTGTCCTGGTCCTGTGCACCCTGGCCATTCACACCTGGGAACTTGCTTTCTTGCTGCATGGGGCCATCCGGCCTCCTACATGCCCCCCGTGCTTGAGCCATCACACAGCGCTCCTTCAGGACGGGAAACGGCCTGGTGTCTCTGCTCCCACCTCAGGGAAGGCCCCAAGGACAGAGACAAAGTCTGCCTTAGACTCCACCCCCCGAGAGGCGTGGATGCTCATGACAAGGTGGTCTGTTCGCCCATAAGTCACTCACCCCCCTCCCTCACCTGGGGCCAGCTGTTACCAGCTTTCATGCCTCTAGGTCCCCCTGCCCACACTTCCTGAGTCCCACACCAGGTGGAACTGGGGCATCCAGAAGCTGTGACTGGCCGGCAAGTGCCTGTCTTTCTGGTGTGGACAGTGGTGTGAGAGGGACAGGCCATGGGCAGGGAGCTGGAGCGGCCAGTGGTGGGACCCCCTGCTTGCAACCCTGTCTGGAAAGTACATGCGGGTGACCCTCAGGGGCTGCACCAGCTCCAGCGGCATGTGGGTGCCACGTTCCTCTTCTGTGGTCAGTCGCCTTGCTAACTAACATCAGCCCTGGGCTTCCTTCCTGCTGGGGCTTCCTCTCAGCCCTGTGACCCTGAGGCCCCATGACTCTGATCCCAGAGATGTTCCTGCTGCTGTCGCTGCTGTGCGCAGGTGAGTGGTCCTGGGGGAGGGCGGGAGGGGGGTGCAGCTGACCCCCATCTCCCCGCAGGGTCCCTGGCTCAGGACCCGAGATTCCGGCTGCGAGTGCAGAGGTCCGTGACGGTGCAGGAGGGCCTGTGCATGCGTGTGCCCTGCAATTTCTCCTACCCCGTGAGCGGTTACACTGAGAATGACCCAGCTTACGGCTACTGGTTCCAGAAAGTGGCTGATACATCCCAGGATGCTCTCGTGGCCACAAACAACCCAGGCCATGAGGTGCAGGAGGAGACCCAGGGCCGATTCCACCTCCTCGGGGACCCCCGGGCCTACAACTGCTCCCTGGACATCAGAGATGCACAGAGAAGGGACTCCGGGACATACTTCTTCAGGGTAGAGAGAGGGTCTTATGTGAGATTTAGTTACAGAGCGAACCAGCTGAATGTGCGTGTGACAGGTAAGGAATGGGGTCAAGGAGAGGACACAGGGGTGGGTGCTGAGGCCACAGGGCAGGGCGGGTGGGTCCCCCTGCTCCTCATCCTGGGAGGGACCCAGGGGACAGGACGCTGGGGCTGGCTGGCCCGAGGCAGAGGCTGCTCTTAGGGGCACACTCGGGGTCTCCGTCTCCAGGCCCTGGGTCTCTATGTGTCCTCCCCAGCTCTGACGAAGACCCCTGACGTGCACATCCAGGGGACCCTAGAATCTGGCCACCCCAAGAACATCACCTGCGGAGTGCCGTGGGCCTGTGACAGGGGGACGCCCCCCACCTTCTCCTGGATCGGGGTCTCCCTCACCTCCCTAGACCCCAAGACTCTCCACTCCTCGGTGCTCACCCTCACTCCTGGGCCTCAGGACCACGGCACCAACCTCACCTGTCGGGTGACCTTCCCCGGTGCTGGCGTGAGCACTGAGAGAACCATCCGGCTAAATGTGTCCTGTGAGTGCCAGGCAGGGCCCGGGGCCCCTGGGGGCCATGAGGGGGACAGGCAGGGCAGGAGGTCCCCTGGGGGCCGTGGGTGTGGGGAGGGGCAGGCAGAGCCCAGGTCCCCGGGGGCCGTGGGTGTGGGGAGGGGGCAGGCAGGGCCTGGGGCCCCTGGGGGCCGTGGGGGAGGCAGGCAGGGCAGGGGGTCCCTGGGGGCCGTGGGTGTGGGGAGGGGGCAGGCAGGGGGCAGCTTACTTGGGGGCTCTCCTTGGAGGCCTGGCTGGAATGACACCGAGGAGAGACACACTGGAGAGAACACCCAGACCCCACCGCCCTGCTCACCGCCATCCCATTGTGCGGCAGGTGCCAACCGTTCGTTTCTGTTGCAGACGCCCCACGTTACCTGACCATCCGGGTCTTCTGGGGAAATAGCACAGGTGGGCGAGGCCCTGGGCAGAACTGAGGTCCCAGAGGCCAGTGAGGAGGGGGTGTGAGGGAGGGACGAAGCCCACGTCTCGTCCTCTCAGGTCCTGAGCCCCCGTCTGCCGGCAGGACTGTCCCTAGAGTCTCTGGTTCCTAGTTGACGCTCAGTGTTGGGGGTCCTGGGAGCTAGGACTGGGGAAGAAGGAAAGAAACCCTCAACGCTACCTCTTCCTGCTTCTAAAGTTTCTGAGGAAAAAAGCCAACACCTACCTTTCTGCCGCTGAAAACAGTTATGTCTCTCTGTCCAGATGAGCCCCAGAATGTGACCATCAGCGTGTCCCGGGGAGAAGGCACAGGTAGGGGGCATGCTCTCCTCTCTGGGGCTGTGATAGATGGGGGGGTCTGTCTTCTCCATGCAGAGCAAGGCTGGGCTCTCAGAGCTCAGATGGGAGAAAGCCTGGGGCTGGGTGTGGGGACATCAGAGGTGACGCAGCCCAGCCCGCCCCTCGGCTTACACACCGGCTTCCCGCACGACCCTGCTCTCGTGGGGACATGCGTGACCGCCATGCCTGATGGATGTGACTTGCCCCAGCGCCAGGGCCACACCCTCATCCCAAATCTTGCCCTCATTCTCCTTAGGGTCTGGACCCTGCCTGCTATAATTTGCTTCAACCTTTAACGTTATTTTTTTAAATAGTGAGCATAAAACGTCTTCATGAGCTCAGGCCGCTGTAACAAATGCCACAGACTGTGTGGCTGAACAACAGGAAACTATGCCCCACATCTATAAGGATGTGTCCTTATAAATCATGAATCCCATCATGAGATGCCCACTCTCACGACTTCATCAGACCCTAACCACCTCCCAGGGGCCCATCCAAATACCTCCAAGTGCCATCACGTGGGGAGATAGAGCTTCGACACGTGCTTTTGAGGGGAAACATAATTCAAGCCCTAGCAAAATTTAGCAAGAATAAAATAGCATTCAGAACTTCATGTACCTCCCCTCTTGGTTATCTTTCCAAATATAATCTATGCAACACACATTTAAAAACACACACACGCATATGCACCATATCACACACACGGCTCTCCGTCTTTATTATTTGTTAACAAACTTGTCATTGTGGAGTGATCTTAGATTTATGTGGCACTGAGTCTGAGTGAATCGCTCAACCAGCTTCCCTCACTGTTAAAATCTTACATCACGTGACACGTCTCCATCGCAGGAAGTGACATCAGTACATCACTGTGAACTAAACTCCCTTTATTCTCAAACTTAGTGCATCTTGGAGCGCATTCTCTTCTGGCACACAGGAAACCTTCATTCTCATTTGATTCCATGGTCACCCAGTTAGGAATACACTCTATTAGAAAGGACTTCATTCATCCCCATTGGTAGAAAACTCTGGTGTTTTCAGTCTTTTACTAAAACAAACAATATTGCAGTGAATACTTTGTGCAAACATTCCCCACATGTGTGCATGTGCCTGTAAGATAATTTCCTAGAGAAGAAAGTCCTGGATCAAAGGGCATATTTGTAAATTCTACAGATACTGGCAAATTGTGCTGCGTGGAAGTGACTCTCTTTACATTCCCACCGGCAAACATGCCTGTTTCCCTGCTGACCCTTTTCACCCTTGCTCATGTCCTAAGTGAATTCCCTGTCATTTTAACCTGTATTCTCATTTTGTAATATTGAGAATCCCTCATTATATTTAAGAACCCTCTGTACTTATTTGTGGACTTTTTCTTAATGATCAGAAGTTCGCTTCATGTTAAGGAAATTGGCCATGTGGTCGCTGAAAGGATCTCTTTCCAGCCTAATGAGGGCCTTTGACTTAGCATATGGTGGGTTTGCGAGGCCAAAACCTGGGGGTTTTAGCTGCATTCAGTGATGTACTGGAGGTGGCTTCCACTATTTGGCAAGAGCGTCTATCTTTTTCCAACCCTGGGTTCAGTGACTTCAAATTGCGTGCTTGAAATTGGCCAAGAGGAAAGTATTTACACCACAGAAATTGGCAAATGCTACAAACCAGGGCCTTTTTTTTTTTCTCCCCACGATGAGCTGTTTGTTAAACCTTTACCAGTAAACTACTGGCTGCATTTATCAGTATCTTCTCTCATGATTCTGACCTTCCCCAATGTTGTATTTTGCTTTTAATTCTCATCATATCTTCCAGCAGCCTTTTAGGTAGACATGCCCAAACACACACATTCACTCTAGCCGGACACACAGGACTGTGTTTTCCCCCAAGCGTGCGAGACATTTTACTGCTCTCCTGTAGCCCCACTTTCCTTCATTCCTTCCACGATGCCCTCTCATGCTGGCATTATCCCCTTGCCGGCTCTCCTTAAGCCTCTTGTCCTCCAGGAAAACCTCACTGTCCTGAGTCTCCCCAAATGCCAGTCCTCAGGACTTCCTGAGCCCCTTTACCCCCATCACAAAATATGCATCTTGTTCCACGAGCACCTGCTTTGCTATATCTCGGCCCCGAGACTGTGAGCTCTTGGGCACAGCTAAATTCGACGGGTCTTAGTGGACTGTTGTGGAAAAGCAGCACTCTTAGAGGCAAATCTGGCATCTGCATTGACACAGATGCCAAGACAGGAGGCATGAGAACCAGGCGGGTAGGAGGAATGCACCAGGGCCTCTTGTGAAGGATGCAGTGCCCCTTGGGTCTGAAACCAGACGGTACAAACGCCTCAGGCAATAGAATAGAAGAAACTGATCCACGTGATAAGAGGAAAAGAGAGAGACAGGGACAGAGACCCCCAGAGAGACAGGGCGAGGGCCTGGGCTTAGCTCTCTGTCTTGCCAGGGCCTGAAGCTCCGAGCGACAGCTCATCCCTCCGCGTCCCCGAGGGCCAGGCCCTGCTCCTGGTCTGCGCCGCCGACAGCAACCCCACCTCCAAGATGAGCTGGAGCCGCGGGAGCCTGGCCCTGAAGCCCGCACAGCCCACCAATCTGGGGCTCCTGGAGCTGCCTCGGGTGGCCCTGGGGGACCACGGGAAGTACGCCTGCCGAGCCCGCAACAAATTGGGCTCCCTGGAAGCCCCCCTGAGTCTCTCTGTGAAGAGTGAGATGGGCCCCCCACCGGGGGGGCAGGACACCCGGGTCCTGGGGAGGGAGGCGCGCCCCTGACCCCTCTCCCCGCTCCCCACAGACCCCCCGCGGCTGCTGGGCCCCTCCTGCTCCTGGGAGGACCCGGGGCTGCACTGCAACTGCTCCTCCCGGGCCCTGCCAGCCCCCTCCCTGCGCTGGCGGCTGGGGGAGGCGCTGCTGCAGGGGAACCACAGCAACGCCTCCCTGACGGTCACCTCCAGCGCCCAGGGGCCCTGGGCCCACAGCACCCTGAGGCTCAGCGGGGCGCCCGGCTCCAGCCTCAGACTCAGCTGCGAGGCCAGGAACGCGCACGGGGCCCAGAGCAGCGCTGTCCTGCTGCTGCCAGGTCAGGGGGTCTGAATGTCCGGGAAGAGGGACGTTGAGTCTGGGCCCTGGGAGGCACCGAGGAGGGAAAAGGGCCTGACTCACTGCAAAGGGGAGCTCGAGGTCATGGTCCTCTGCTGGTTGGCTGGTTTGGGGGTGCTGGAGGAACAGGAGGCTGCAGTCCTATGGAGGGGTGGCGGACGATGGGCGGTGTCCTGGATAGACAGGGACACACATATGGGTCACAGATTCCAGAAGGCTGGATGCTCGGGGGCCTGCCTGGGTGGCTGGAGTTCACCCTACTCTCTTATCTGCAGGGAGACCAGGACCCAGGACGGGTGTGGTCCTGGGGGCCGTCGGGGGAGTGGGTGTCACAGGCCTGCTTGCCCTCTGCGTCTGCCTCATCTTCTTCGCGTGAGTGGTGGCCTGGTTTGCGTGACAGCCTCATGAGGTGGTGGTTGTGTCATGGCGTGGGAGGCACTCAAAGAAGCTCCAAAACTCAAAGCCCAGAGCTGAAGGGACCTGGAGAGGGGACGAAGCCAGAGAGGAGTGTGATTAGCTGAAGCCACATCAGGAACGTAGCCTCCTGACGTCTTGGCCAAGTGTGGCCTGGCTCCAGCCACCCGGGAGGAGGGAACGTGGGTTCTCCACATGGTCTCTGCAGCCAGACAGGAGCCCTGGTGCCCTACCTCAGGCAGCCCTCCTAGGCCCACAGCGAGCCGGGCAGGCTGAAGCCCTGGTCTCTCTCCTCAGAGTGAAGTTCTACAGGAGGAAATCAACCGAGAAAGCCGCGTGCGGGGACGGCAGCCATCCTGCGTCGGGTCCCAGCTCCCAGGTGGGTGGCATGGGCGTCTTCCTATCCCACGTTCCAGCGGGACCCCTGCCTCGGGATGGGAAGCAACTCCCACAGCTCACCAAGAAATGAACTCCCGGCTGCCCCTAGATCCGCCCCTTTCCCCAGATTTCCGGCAGCACTCAGCTCGGAGACCTGAGATCCGCCCTTTACTCCTCCTCTACTTCATCTCCCATAGCCACCGATCCACTGATTGGTTCTTCCCTTTTCACAAAGCCTTTCTCCAGTTCGCCCCTCCCGCCTGAGCCCCACTGTCTCTCCTGGGCCCCTGGCCCCAGCTGCAGGACTCCACCTCTCCTCCCCAACAAACTGTGCCAGGCAGGCCTGTCCCCAGCACACCGTGAGCCCCCTGAGAGCAGGGGCAGGCCTCCTGCAGGCCTCTGGGATTCTCACCCCCAGCCCAATGCTTCTGTCCATCAAATCACAATTAGCCACGGAATCTTTTGTGTGTGTGTGTGTGTGTGTGTGTATGACCGTTTGGTAAGATCTCCTTGTCCTGGTAGACTGTCTGAGGTCAGAGTTCATGCCTGCTGAAGAGCTTCTTGACCTTTCTCTTTTTCCATCGGTACAATAGGGATAGTGGTCATGTCATCTACAGAGGGAGGTTGTAAGGATTCAGTGAGGTTAATAATGAACACAGTCCATTAAGATGAAAATGTGTGAAAGCTACAGATGAATGAGTGAGTGAGTGAGTGAGTGGATGAATGTACAAATAAGTGTATGAATAAAGGAATGAGTGAGTGAATGAATGAATGAATGAATGTGTGAACCTTGCAGACATGGGTGTGAAATGGACAGACAGGTAAGTACCCCTCAAGCCCCAGGTTCCCTTCTCCAGTCCCCAAAGGCCAGTTAGGATGCCTTGCCTTCGCCTCAGGGTCACGTGAATGAGTGCTGGTCAGACAGTCCCTCAGACCACCTGCCCCCAGCTGAAGCCGCCTCCCCCTCAGAGAAGCAGGAGCTCCATTATGCCTCCCTCAGCTTCCATGGGCTGAAGCCCCGCACCTTTCAGGACCAGGAGACCACCGAGTACTCAGAGATCAAGGTGCAGAAATGAGAAGCCGCAGCCCAATGCCACCCCCAGGAAGGCCAGCTCCAGCTGGAGCCCAGAAGAGGCGTCTGAGGACAATGGGTGTCAGGCACCTGTTTTGGGAGAGTTGACAGGCCTCTGAGCCAAAGGTTATAAATGGGAATGTGACATTCCTTGGAGTAGCTGAAGGTCACAGAGAATCCGGGGTTTCAATCCACACCCAGATACTTACTTAGGGTGTATATATAGGACAAGTCATTCCACCTCTCCGTGCCTCAGTTTCCTCTTCAGTAAAACGGGGGATGATTTTCATCAAGTACACTGTGAAGTGGGAAAAAAATGCACCATTGGTGTTAAATATATCGTTATGTATTACATTTACCTTAGGATGGAGGTAGATGTCAGCTTTTGGCTGGACCACATGCCTCGATTTTGTTAGACTATTTTTAAGTACATGTATTATTTTTGTTTTTGTTTTTGTTTTTATTTTTATTTTTCTTGAGTGAATGTATTATTTTTAGAAAATAAATATATTCCTAAGTGCAATTCTCTGGCAGGAGAAGATATTCCCTAATACATGTTTCTAACAAAGGATTCATCCAGAGTATATTAAGATTTCCCAAAAATCAATGAGAAAAAGGCAGGCAATCCAATAGAAAAAAAGGATATTCAAAGGGTCAGTAAGCACCTTGAAAGGTGTTCAACTTCAGTAGCTGCCAAGGAAATGCAAATAAAAACCACAATGCTGTGCCCTGCACAGCCAGCACATCGGCTAAAACAACAAATATAGTATCAAGAACAGCGTTGCGGACATCATGCTAAGTGAAATAAGCCAGTCACACGAAGACAAAGACTACATGATCCAAGTATACGAGGTATTGAGAGTAATCAAACTCTTAGAAACAGAAGGTAGAGGGACCTCAGGGGGGTGGGGATGGGGATAGGAAGTTAGCTACTCCCTAGGTAAAGAGTTTCAGTTTTGTGAGATGAAAACATTCTAGAGATCTGATGGACAACAGCATGCACCAGGGGCTGGGATTGGGGGAGTGCGTGAGTAGTTTATGTTTAACAGGCACTGAATTTCAGTGTAGGGTGATGAAAAAGTTCCAGAGAGGGAGGCTGGTGATGGTTGCACAATGTAAATATTCTTAATGCCACTGAATCATACACATAAATAAATGGTTAAGACAGTAAGTTCTATGCTATGTATGCTTTTCCACAATGAAAAGTTTTTTCTTAAGGGATATAAAATGTTGGTGATGATACAGAGCAACTGGAACCCTCAGACATTGTTGGGGGAGTGAGAATTGGCCAACCAGTTGGAAAAATGTGATTCTGTTCACACCAGGCATGTGAGCCAGCAATTCCGCTCCCCAGTGTACACCCATCAGAAGCGTGTGCAAACGTTCACCAAGTGTATACAAGAATGTTCATGGCAGCAAGAGCTGTAATGGCTGAAAAACAGAACCTGCCCAAATGCCCATCAGTGGTATGACTGTAAATAGGTTGCACAACGTTCAAACAATGGAAGCAGCTGTTAACAACTCCATACAATGTGTATGAATCTTGCAAACATGTTTCATGAAAGAACCCAGACTCAAAGAGTTTATACTATGTGATATCTTTGATATGAGGTTTAGGAACAGACAAAATTAATCTTTGATATTAGAAGTCCAGATACTGGTTACCCTTGGGAAATAGGGAGAGGAAGGGGCGAGTAGGGACCTCCTGGAGGCTTGGTAAGTATCTGTTTTTTGATCTGGGTCCTAATGCTCAGATATATTTACTCTATGAAACATTTTTGAGTAAAACAGTTGTGATTTGTGCCCTTCCCTATATAAATACTTCTCCTTAATAAAATCTACATTAAGGTTTTTTAAAAAGATTATCCTGACCTTTTGTATTCTATTGTAAGTATTCTAACTCTGGTTCCCACCAAACTATAAGCTCCCCCGGGGTCAGGGAAAGGATCATGTCCAGCCTTGTATTTTCAGGGCCCAGCCTTGGAGACAGCACATGAAGTGGATGCAGTAAACCTCTGAAACGACTTGAACTCAGGTTCAAGGAACAACACAGCTGGGCTCTGCTGAGGCCTCCAGGTTGCATTTCCAGCCCAGTCCTCTGTCCTAAGTTCTAAATCCTGATGTCCACCTGGATGTCTCTGCGTGAATGACCACAGGCCCCGCAGTTTCGATGCATTCCAAACTGGACGCTGCATCTTCTTTCAAGCCTGGTTCTCCCCAGGGCTCACCATCCGGGATATGACAAGGTCTGTCTGCCAGCATGGTACCTGATACCCGATCAAGTACCATGAGATCCCCCTCAAGTCTCCTGGGTGAGGAGAGCATCAAGTTCCTGTGCCTGGATTAGCTGCCGCTTCCCACCAGGACACCATTGCTGGTCTGACCCTCACTGCATTTCCTGAAATGCAGTCTCTCATTCTGTCTCTCATCCCTCAGGTCCCAATTCAGGCCCCTGTGTGCCTGTTCCTCCGAGAGGCTACTGCTGCACCACTTCCTGAATCTGCTGACTCCCCCCCCCCCCCCCCCCGGGGCTGTGAACTCCCCGCGGCCACAGTATGAAAGGCCTCAAGGCCCAGCTCCCAGAGTGAAGCCTCCTTCCACCTCTTCCTACCCTCCTGGGGAAGGTTCTGGAACTCCCCCCCACCAGAACCCCACAGACCCTGTTCATCTCTGCCCATAGCTTTAATCACAGGGTCTAGAGGCTGTCTAAACTGTCTTAGCAAAGGCAATAGAAGGAATCAGTTCAATTTTTAAGCCCCTTCATAATAACCAAAAGGCAGAAACAATCCATATGTCCATCAACAGATAAATGGATAAGCCAGCTGAGGTATTTTCATGCAATGCCCTATCACCCAGCCATAAAAAGGACTGAGGCATTGATAGAAACTTCCAGAGGGATGAACCTCAAAAAATTTGCTAACTGAAAGACACCAGACACAAAAGGTCACATATTGTAGGATTCCATTTATATGAAACATCCCAAATGGGGAATCCACAGAGACTGAAAGCAGATTGGAGGTTTCCAAGGGCTGTTGGCGGGGAGGGAATGGAGAGTGACTGTATAATGGACACGGGGTTTCTTTTTGGGGTGATGAAAAACGTTTTGAAACTAGATAGAAGCAGTGGTTACACAATATTGCGAATGTAGTAAGTGTCAGTATAAATTGTTCACTTTAAAATGCTTAGTTTTATATTACGCAAATTTCCCCTTAAAAAAATAATAAATGAAGCTCTTTAAAACCATTCCACCAAAATCCCAACACCTACTTCACCACTTCACCTCTCACTACTTCCACTTGCTTGTCTGTCAAATGGAATAACAACATCACTTGGCTCATTCGGTTGCTTTGAGATTTCAGATGAGTTAATAATGCACACAGGCATGGCACAGCGCTCCGTGTGCGTGGAGCCCGCAGTCACAGTCAGCTCGGGTGGCTGCTCAAAGGGCACTCAGCCAAGGTCAAACGCTGCCGAGGCCATCTGACTTGCTAAATGACTTCAAGGTTTCAAGCAAAATGTGCTGTGTCCAGCGAGGTCTCCACTCGCCCCCTGATCAAGTGGGTGTCCCTGTGGTCATGGGAAAAGGCTGCTGATGAGGAAATTAGCAAAGAAGAAGTATAAGACCCACTTCAAGTCTTCATGGCCAGGGTTTTGTTTCGCTTCTCCTATCTCCCTGGAGTCCCTTCCCATGAAATCACGCAGTCCCCGGTCTGCCCCTCCTCAGCCCCCAGACCCCCCAGGCCATCCCCTCACCACCAGCAGCAGCAGAGGGAACTCCCGGGCACTCAGCTCCCAGTCCGTCCTCCCCTGGTAAGCGTCCTTCCCTGCCTGCCTGTCTCCCTCGGGATGAGGTGTCCGGTCCGGTGAGCGTTATTCAAAAACATTCACAAACTCACCATCAGCTACCATACCCCTTCTCTCGGCCACCGCCCCTCACACACCTCAGCCACACTCCCACCTCTTGCTGAAGATCTGGCCCTTTGCACCTCACCGTGATCCATTCCCACGGTTCCATCTTAGCGTAATAAAGGGCTCTTTCTCCAAGTTTTCAGCACTCACTTATTCTTGGAGATCCCCCTCAAATCCACCTCCTCAGAGGAGCTGCATCCCCTGCCTGACCCCTGACCCTGCACTTTCCCACAGGTCAGATTAGGGCGTAGTTTCCCGACCTCAGCACTGTTGATATTTGGGCATTTGGGACTGAATGATTTATTCTGAGGACTGCCGTTTGCATTATGAGATGTTAAGCAACCTCCTGGCCTCTACCCACAAGAGGCCAGTAGCTTTCCTCACACATTTTTGACAACCAAAATGTCTCTAGACATTGCCAAACATTCCAGACATGTCCGGAGTAGAGGGTGGGCAAAAAGGCCGCCAGTTGAGAATCGCTGGGCTGAAGCTTCCCTCCTCTGTGCTCACACCGATGCTTCCACGGAATGACACGTTTTCTCCGGTTCTCCTTTTCAAGGTCATCGCAAACACCCATTTCCTCATTCCTGGCCAGTTACAAAAATAATTAAGTGAATTTCAGTTACTTTGCATCACTCTTTGTGAGGAGATCCTTGGGAAATCGCTGTTCTCTCCCTATCTCTTTGTTCTCTAACGACAAGAGGAAAAAGACAGTTCCTGCCTTAGGGGAACTCAAGTTATGAAGTGGGATTTGGGGAAGGGACAGAAATATGCAACCTATTAAAACACAGTGTGATGAGGTTCCTGTAAAGATGGGCCTAGGGTATGAAACAGATATTTAGAGCCCCAGTCTGGGGGTCTGAGCACAAGAGCGCTGGCCTCTGCCTTGAGTGGGGGGAGGGAGTTAGAAAAGGCTCCCCAGGAGAAGCTCCTTTCAAGCTGCACCTAGAAGGGAAAGCTGGGGTTGGCCAAGCAGAGAAGAGGAAATGCAGCCCAGATAGTGGGAACATCAGACGCAAAGCAAAGGGGTGGGAGAGAGCCTGGCAGCTGTTTGGCAAGACAAGTGAGCCTGTAATGCCTGGGACTGGAGTGAAGGCGACAAGGGAGGCCACACCCCTGGGGCTCCGGCTGGGCTCTGCCCTCCAGGGGCTCTGTGGCCAGGCTGAGGAGGCTGGACATGATGCTTCAGACTGTCACATAAAAAAAGAAGCCGGATTTAGACAAAGAGAACTTTGTTGCAAAGGATTATTGTAATAGGGAAAGGAGGACTCCCCTTTGCCACAAAACAAGTCTTAATACATTTAAAAGATGGTCACAGTAGAATAAAACTAGACATAGATAACAGAAGGGAGAGTGGAAAACTCACACATCTGTGGGAATTAATCAACAAGCTCTTAAACATCCAATGGGTTGAAGAGGAAATCACAAGGGAAATTTAAAAATACCTTGAGACAAATGAAAACTAAAACACAAAATCCTCCTCTTCCAAAAATTGAGGAGGAGGGAACAATTCCTAACTCATTCTGTGAGGTCAACGTTACCGTGATACCGAAGCTGACGACATTACATAAAAATAAAACTACAAACCATTACACCTTGGATATGACACCAAAATAAAAAGTAAATACATTGGACCTCAAAAAATTAAAAACTGTGCATCTAATGATACTTTCAACAGAGTGAACTGGCAATCCACAGAATGGGAGAAAATATTTGCAGATCATATATCTGATAAAGGATTAACATCCACACTATATAAAGAGCCTACAACTCAACAACAAATAAAATAACCCAATCTTAAAAATGGCAAAGGGCTTGAATAGACATTTCTGCAAAAGAGCGATACACATGGACAGGAAACACATGAAAAGATGCTCAATATTGCTAGGGAACATCATTAAGGAAATGCAAAAAAAATTATAATGAGATACTACTTCATACCCATTAGGATGGCTATTATCAAAAAAAAAGAAAACAAAGAAAAGAAGAAGGTCTGATGAAGTCGTGGAGAAGTTGGAACACTTGTGCATTGCTGGCAAGAATGTAAAATGCAGCCACTATGAAAAACAGTAGGGACATTCCTCAAAAAATTAAACATAGAATTACCATAGGATTCAGTAATTTCACTTCTGGGTATGTACCCAAAAGAACGAAAAGCAAAGACTAACAAATATTTGTAAACCAATGTTCATAACAGCATTGTTTACAATAACCAAATAATGGAAAACAGCCAAAGTGACCATTAACAGATGAATGGATAAACAAAAGTGGCATATACATGCAATGGAATATTATTCAGCCTCAAAAAAAGGAAAGAAATCCTGTTATATGCTACAACATGGATGAACCTTGAAAGCATTATGCTAAGTGAAATAAGCCAGAAGCCAAAAAAAAAAAATATTGTATAATTGCATTTATATGAGGTACCAAGAATAGCCAAATTCATAGAGAAGGAAAGTAGAAT